TATCGAACCGAACCGTGAATTTTGTGTATCGTTGCACCCCATATATATATTAGCTGCATAATACCAGTAGGCCAGCTCTAATAGTAATTTGGTATGGCTTCGGGGGCCAAATGTAATTACACTGCAGGCCAAATTTGGCCTATGTTTTAGGTGAACATCATTAGGCTGTAATCATGTGTGCACTCCATGAATCAGGCCTTCACCAAGTTGACAGCAAAAGAGTGAGAGAGTGGTTAATGGACTTAACATAGCATAATAAAATCAAAACTTCCTGTCAGACATTGTGGGTGCGTGCTTCACCTTAGTGAGGGAGATCACGCTCACACATACATATTTATATATGTATACATATACACATGTACACATAATATTTTATGTCTTGTATATACATATTGTGTATATATTTCATTTTGTTTGATTACAGATGAAACAAGTTTTAATCAGGTTGGTATAGTTGGTTGTTATTGGGTAATTTCTTAATTGCTCTGTAGCTGACAATTAAAATGAAAGGTGCTAATAGCCACTGCAAACTTTAGCTGTTAGCAGTGGCTCCTGGTCAAAGTAGCCATTCGGTTTACCTGAATCTTTGAATTTCTCCCCTAGTAATTATGTCCCTCCATCTGTTTTCTTACCATGTTAATTTAAACCTTTCTTTGTCTATTCCTCACTTCTCCACAGCTTGTGCTGACACCAGAATTTGACACAGTTTGCTGCATCTCTTTTTAGTTTTTATTCTCTTTCTGCTTTTCATTATCACTTTTTCCACACTAAAAAAAATCCAGTAGCTGTGTGAGTGCACAGAAAAGGTCAGAGAGGGGCCAGTTGTATTAAGAGACTTTAGTGGGTGACCCAGTGTCAGTAATGAAAATTAACCAATGACTGGTGCACAGTGGGGCTGCAGGCTGGCCCATGGGCCCAAAGGTGTATTGGCCCACTGGGAAAATGCAGAGTATGCCAGACTACCATTCTAGCCCTGAGTGCACATAAATGATGTGTAACTGTGGCTGAGTTTAGACATGGCAGTAAATAACAGTAATATCCTATAATTCACAGTAGTGTGGACTAGTGATGTGCAGTGTCTACTGATTTTCATTCTGATCTGATACCAAGTAAGTTCAGGCTGGTATTGACAAGTCTGATCCGTACCGATACTTTGTACAAAAACTTAAAAAAGAAAAAGAAAAAGTAAAATAAAAATCCACACCACTAGTATGGACTGATTTTAACAAAGTTGTAGTCTATCATTAAAATGATTTGTCTTGTTTGTGGCAAACATATGGTTGATGTATTGCCACATTGTTAAATCCTGTGCTTTATAATGTATCCACAGACAAACTAAATCCAAGAACATCAAAGTGTGAAGATGCTTCCCTTGAAGATGAAACTCTTCATCCTATTTTTCTTCATTTTTGCCACAATCATCGTAGTGTTTTATGGAAATTCATACATTTTGACTGCATACCAGCATTCCTTCTTCTATCGCAATACAAGTCTTTGTGCCTGTGACAAATGTTTAATGGAATACGATCCATGGCTTAGTGAGCTTATGGAAGCATCTCCTGAGCCCTTTTTGTCAGTCACAAACTATATGTCAGAGGATATTTTTAACTGGTGGAAGGTAAATATGAAAATGTAATAAATACATTTTAAAAATAAGGATATGCTGTAATATGCAAGGTTTTTCCTATATCGTCATTAGTTATTTCAGGTACTCATGATTGTGTCAGATACTGATAATATATAGAGATAAATAAGGTATCCAATTATGTAACTTTTTTTAGACTGAAACATTTAGGGAATTTTCACTATTTTAGAACATAGAATACATTTGTCAAATATTTGCAATGCAGTAAGCATTGTAGTAATAGGACATTAAATGTGGATTTAAATAATGCAAATTTTATGACCTTATCAACAATCCTACATATGACATTAGAATTTCAATACTTTCAGACTAATCAGTTGTTACATATAAGTATTGAAGCCAACAATTTAATAACCATAGTCTTGCTTTTGTTTCATATCAGCGAATACAACGGGACAAACGCAACTATACTTTCTACAATAAAACCGTGGATAAGATATTTCACATCTTCCCACCCAATGTGGGTTTTACAAGACCCAGCCCTGACCTCTGCAGAACTTGTGCTGTAGTTGGGAATTCTGGTAATCTAATGGGATCATTTTATGGACCTCTGATAGATTTTCATGATATTGTTATAAGGTAATGTTAACATAACTCCACAGACAGTATATCATGCAGTAATCTATATATACATATGTGTATGTATGTACAATAAATCCTAATAAATAACATGTGTGGTAAATCCTCTTCTAGAATGAACCGTGGCCCTACCAAAGGTTTTGAAAGAGATGTAGGAACCAAAACAACACATCATGTGATGTATCCACACAGTTCTACCAATTTGGACAACACCACTTACCTTGTTCTGTTCCCATTCAAAACCTATGATTTAGAGTGGCTCATCCAATCCTTCACTCAAAGGTATGTGCTGTGCAAAGTTAATACCAGTGTTTTTTTATTTGGATAAAAATTTGTTTCAATGGTCTTTGACAATAAGAGTAATAAACAGTAGCAAAACCAAGATTGGACAAGTTTAAAAAAAGGGGATTTTCTGACAGTGTCACGGTCTGGCTGGCAGACCGTGGGGATATGGGGAATGAGGACCCAGGCGCGGTGCTCTGTATATAAACAGTGCGTTTATTTACAGTGATGGAAAAACATGACAATAAATCCCGTGCTCTCCCGACTCCCGTGACGTGTCCTCTTCCCAGTGTTAGTGCTCCTGTCTCCGCTTCTCCGTGATGAGCACCCCGTGCTCGCTGCCCTCTCGTCTC